AAATTAACTAAAAAAATGAATGTAGTACAAACAACAGCAAACGAAATGGCCAATAATAATACAGTAGCAACAACAACAACAACATCGACAACAAATTCAAATGCAAATGCTACTTCGGTGGTTGCTGCTACAGTTGTTGGTGGCGGTGGTGGTAATGGAAATATTATTGGTCAACAACAACAACAACAACAACATCAACAACCATCAGTAACATTAACAATACGTTTGATTATGCAAGGAAAAGTAGGAATTTTTTTCTGGAAAAAAAAAACTTTCAAATTAACAAAATTTTTTTTAATCCGAATCTTTTTCTTTAGGAAGTTGGAAGTATAATCGGTAAAAAAGGAGATAATATTAAAAAATTTCGTGAAGAGGTTTGTTTGTTTGTTTGATGATTCTGATTTCATTAATTTGAAATTTCCCGCCGAAATATAGAGTGGAGCAAAAATAACCATTTCGGATGGTTCATGTCCTGAACGTATTGTAACTGTAACTGGATCAACTGAATCAATATTAAAAGCATTCGCTATGATTGCACGTAAATTTGAAGAGGTAAAAACGAATCTTTTTTTTCATTGAAAAGTTTTTTTAAAATTTCAATTTTTTTAAAGGATGCCAATAATAATAGTACAATGGGAATGGGTACAAATTTTAATATTTCCAATACAACGATGGCATCATCAACAACATCATCATCAACATCATCATCATCATCAAATGGCAAACAGAATTCAATTTCAATGCCTGTAACATTAAAATTAATTGTACCAGCAAGCCAATGTGGATCATTAATTGGTAAAGGTGGTTCGAAAATAAAAGAAATACGTGAAGTATGTGTTGTTACACAAATCTATATCGTTTTTGTTTCAATTTAACGATTTGTTTCTCTATTTGTTTTATCCAGATCACCGGTGCCAGTATACAAGTTGCTAGTGAAATGTTACCAAATTCAACTGAACGTGCTGTAACATTATCCGGTTCAGCTGATTCAATAACAAAAAGCATCTATCAAATTTGCTGTGTTATGTTGGAGGTATGTTTTTTTCGTTTTTTTTTTTTTTTTTTGTTTATCAATTGAAAAAAATCCACACAAAATATCCATTGTAATCATATATTGAATATAAGCATCTTTTGTTTCAACTTTTTCTGTCTTTTGTTGTTTGTTTTGTTGTTGATTTCTTTCTTTTTTTTTCGAGGTTTTTTGTTTGTTGTTTTTTTTTCTCAACAACAATTTCAAATTCAGCCCAAATAATAATAACAATAATGAAAATGGAAACCGTTTTTTTCGTTGAATTCTTCTTTTTTCCACGAATTTTTTTTGTATGCGGAAAAAAAATTTTCCCTTATATTCTGGATGCAAAATAGCAAAATAGAGAGAGACAGTGAGTGAGAGAGATGGAAAAATTAATTAATATTATGGCCCACAACAAACACATAATAATAATAATATTCAGAGAGAGAGAGAAAGAGAGAAAAACGCTCATCATGTAAATTTTCATTCTTTTCATTCCATTTGATTCTCGGTTCTGTTCAGTTTTTCGTTTCGTTTGGTTTGGCATACACCAATATTGAACAAATACAGAATAGAAAAACGAAAAAACATCATCCAACATTGTTTGATATGTATAGTGAATGAGAGAAAGATAGTAATTAGGACGAGAAGCAGGACAACAGACAAAAAAAACGCTTTAATTATCATCAATGGTTGGAGAATATATAACCTTAGTAATAATAATAATAATGAGGATGCTTTTTTAAAAGAAAACATTTGCACGAATTTTTTTTGTTTCACCCATTTTCAAGTGGCAAAAATACAATGGCAATTCAAATAACCAAAACAAATTATCATTTGTCGAATCAAATGGCAAAACTAACTAACCAAACTAACCCTTTTTTTTGTTTGTTTGTTTGGTTGATAAATATTCTTGTATTTATGCTGTTTGTTTATCTATCTTTTTTTTCCATATTATTAGCCTCGAAAAAAAAGAATAATGATAATAATAATAATAATGGAGTTTACAAATTCATTCTTAATCTTTGCAAAAAAAATAATTCTTTGATGATGATTATTATGGTGTTTTTTCTGTTTTTCTGTTTTTATTTGGTAAAATCCTTTGAGAAATCCTTTGCAACACACAGATAGAGAGAGGGAAAAAATTCTGCAAAAAATATATTTTTTTTGTTGATTAGAATTTTCTCTTTTTCCTTTCTTTCCTCTCATAAGATTGAATAGATTGAATGCAAGATTGAAAAAAAAACAGAATTTCCTTTCTTTTTTCCTCGTTTTACTTTTGTTGTTGTTGTTGTTGTTGTTATTGGTATGGTTTTCTGTTATAGATATTCTGCATCCATGAACAAAATCCGTAAAATGAATGTTTTTTTAAATTTGTTGCCTTGCTGTTGATGTTACCTTTCTTTCTTTCTTTTCTTTTCTTTTGTTACAATGTCGACAAATTTTTTTTTCACTAAATCTAATGGCTATTTTTTTCTTATTTTCTTTTTTCATCATTTTTTTCCCGTTATACCTGCATTCATCTTTTACACGTTTGGATGCCCATGGATACCTGATATTTTCAAAATTGGAATAATGAAAAAACCTGAAAAAATGGATTTCATTTCATTTCTTCAACATCTTCATTCATTCATTTATTCAGTCACCACCAAAAGGCCCTACCATTCCTTACCGTCCTAAACCTGCAATGCCGCCGGTATTTTTTGCTGGTGGACAAGCATATACGATACAGGGACAATTTGCAATTCCACATCCAGATGTAAGTATTTCTTTTTTCTTCTTTTGAAAAAATATCATAATAATAATAATATCCGATTGTCAGAAAATAAAAGTGAGGAAGGAAGAAAAGAATTTTTTTTTCACAAAAAATAAAAAAAAAACTTCTGTTCGATGTTCGTCGTTATTCTCTCTGTCTGTGTGTGCTTTATCATTGTGAAAATATTTCAAATTTTTTTTACACAGATTTTTGTCCAACGAAAGAAAAAATTATTCTAATTTACTTTGTCGTTGTCGTCGTTTTATTTTCTGGTCCAATTGTCTGGCGTCCACTTTTTTCCAGCATTATTATTATTATTTTTTTTTTACATAAGATTCTTTTCTTTTTATGTTTGTGCTTCGTTTAACAAATATATAAATTTTGCTTCAAAGATAATTGGATGACAATTAATAGTAGTTATTTTTTTCTGGTCTAGTTTGCTTTCTGTGTTTGTGTGAGTGACCCTCATAGTTGATATACCAATAATAATAATAAAGGAAAGCAAGTAAGCAAGAAAAACTTGAAAAGTTTCAATATAATATGACATCTTGTTAATATTTTTAGTATTTTGTTCAGCAAACAAGCAACTACTATATTGATTTTTTTTTTTTGCATGGACAAGTGTCTCTTTTCTCTATTTTTGTTTCTTTTTTCATTGGTTTTCTTCTTTATTGATCTTTACTTTTTTTATTTGTTTTTTGATCTGTATCCAAATTGGATGACTATCGACTATCATCATGATCATGATGATCATTATTATATCATGCATTTGATCGATTTGTATTTTTTTTTTTTTTTTGCAATTGATAAATTAATGATGATGATTAGGGATGATGGTAAAGTGAACTTTTTTTTATTTTACTTGTT